CGCTGCATAGCAAAGATAGGCCTCGGATGCAGGTTCATGCTTGCCTCGCTTCCCATCTGTCTTCACGTCAACAATCGACTTGATTTCCAAGATTTGCTACATGCCGAGTGTTTATAAGGCATGCTCAAAAACAAAGTGCAGAATGTGGACATACGCTATGGGCTGCTATGGATGGTGAGTATGGAAGAAAAAGTCGAAAAGCCCGACCGCGCATTTCTCAGAAGGTTATGGCGCAGCATGAACTGCATTTATTTCCATCCGAAACGTTCCGATGACCCCTCCCGACTCCATCCGCGATTTGGCCTGTAAATTAGACATCCTACATGTGTTTACAACCTTAACCTCCCGATCCAACTCCCTGAAATGAAGAGTGAGCTGGTTTGTTTGTGCAGAGCCGCTACGAGGTGTGTCCGCTCTGCCATGGACCCGGAGCAGATCGTCACGCTCGTGGACAGGAAGGCCCAGTGGAGAAGCATCAAAGAATTGTCCTGCCAGACTCTAGATGTATATATATATATATCTCTCTCTCTATCTATATATATATATATATATATTTTATTTGCCATGAATTCCTGAGGTTGAGTGCGGCTTACACTCCGAGGAGCACAAGGCGTGCGTGTAAGAAACGCCTGTCAAGCCTCAGGCCTCAGACGTTGTATGCGCCCACAAGCTTGCAAAACCTTGAAGCATGCCGCCCTTCATGCCCCGACTAGGTGATAGAACTTTCATGATACCTGGTCTCTCGACCGAAACTCCTTGTTCTCGAATCCTAGAAAAGCTGCGACTTGTTTACGCTTGACCGCACGTCGTGCTCTGGGCAGGTCCGCAGACAGAAGCCGAGAGAGACATCGGAACGACTTGAACCCCACAATTTGAGCCGGAAAAAGGAAAACAAGCCAGAAGACATAACACATAGGACTGGGAGATGGGCTCCAAGAAATGGATTTCAAGACATGACGTGCCATCCTGAAGAAAGGACAGAGGGTGAAGCACACGACGTTCATGGATACAATGTTAAGGTCCTCCCTTCAGCACTGCACAAGTTCCAGCAAAGCTATGGCATTTCAAGTACCCCACCAATGCTACAATTATTTCATTCTCGCCTGCTCAGATACCCTCACGCAAATGTGTCACTTCATGAACCTTCGGCCCGTGAACCCACAGCATTCATGTCGTTGAGGCGGGGGACCGTCTGCCCAGCAGCATTCTGCACGATGCTGGGCCTCGGGCCACAAATTCTTCAAGAGCCCTTCCAGCCCTTGGACTTTACGAGATCAGGAGCAAATACCAACTTTACTCCAACTATTTGACAAAGCCGCGGCTGTTCTCTTGCGAAGTTTATAAGGATTCACGGCTTCGGCTTTCAGAGGGTGCGGGGCACTTGGGCGTGAAGCTCTGAAATCAGTTCTGGGTCTGCCCAGAAGGGCCCAATACTCTTTCAGAATATGGTTTGAACATCATCATAAGAATCCCTCTATAGTCTAAGGTGCATTCTTTCAATATAAAGGGGTGTTGGGCTCTTTGGGTGTGTCGCCGCCCTACATCCAAACCAACGGCAAACCCTAAACCCTAAACCCTAAACCCTAAACCCTAAACCCTAAACCCTAAACCCTAAACTAAGGTCGAGGCTGCAGCACGTCGCAGGCGACGGCAAACGACAGGCTGGAGATCATGGAGTCCAAGATGTTCTTGGCCTTGCTCCCATTACCCTAAACCCTAGTTACCCTAGTTACCCTAGGTGCCCTAGTGAACAAGCTAAAGGGGGCTTTCGGGCAGGGTTCTTCTTGACTTTTCAAGCCCCAGCATTTCGAGCTGACCACCGGCGCAGAATACAGCTTGATTCTGAAAGCTCATAGCCAAGCATTGGCAAACACAATGCCTGCATGATGGCCTTGGAAAAGACTCATATGGTTCTCAATGAATGTCTGCGAGTCTACTGATGGCACAACATCTTCGAGAGCCTGCGTTTCTTCAACAAAAGAGCCGGGAGGGGGTGGGGCGTGCAGTCTCCCCTCCCCATTTGCCAACACAATGAAAACATGATGTGGGGTAAGGGGGGATGAGCTGCCCCCTGGCCCCGTCAGCCCAATTTGCAAACACAATACTCGCCTGAAGGGTTTGGATATGATTGGTCTGGTTTTGATAAGGAAGGCCTATTGATGACGCGCAATTCTTTGAAGCAGGCTTGCACTCGTTACAGTGGAGCGGGGGCTTTGGGGAGGCGCAGACCCCCTTTTGATTTTGCCCATGCTCGCATGATGGGTTTGGAAAGGATTCACATGGTCATATGGTTTTGAGGGAAACTTTGTCTTCTGTGTTGTGTCGTTCTTCCTTTCCTTCTTTCCGCATTTTTTCCCGTCAATATTGTGGTTGTATATTTCCTTCGTTCCTTGTATGTCTTCCTTCCTGCTTTGCTTCTTGTTGTGTTTTTCTGTCACTCTCTCTCTCTCTGCACGCTTGGCCCCTCCCGGAGGAGGAGCCGCCCCGAGGGGCGCGCGAAGTCCCAAGTCTGTCGGGTCGCGGTTACCGTGCTCTTCTCTCTCTCCCTCTCGTTCTTTCTTTCCTTCCTGCCTTCGAACCCAGGCCCTGCTCACCCTCCGTCGCCTTCTTTCTCTGGCATGTATCAGAGCTGTTGTATTGAAAAACATCCCTTCCTTTTGTAAAACTGGTTGTTGAGTCTTTTAAAAGCTTTCTTTCCCCTCTCATCGTGGCCAGGTTGCCAGTACGGTCATCCGGTGCTCCTGTGGCGAGAAGTTCGGCTTGGCTCTGGGTATCTCTCTCTGAGGCGCCGGGAAGGGAAGGGAGAGCCTAAGCGTTGCTTAGGGTTGAGGGTTAGTAGAGCGAAAGCCGCCTCAGCCCCACAAAACAAGGATGTCAAACGTAAAGCCCTAAAGTTTGGAGCTGAGGCTCGAAACCCCTGATCCTCCGGCACGCGCAAGCCAAACCCTCCCTTAATTACTAATTACCCTGTTGCGCACACTTTCAAGCGGGCGAGAATGGTTGGGCTGCAACGATTCTGCATCATCCGAGGGGAAGGAGGAGCATCCACACCCCCCATGCCGACTGAGCTGAACAAGCAAAGTAAGGCAGGAGTAGGAGGTTTACGTGCGCGCCGGCCAACCTACCCCGTCACACAGACACACCAACCCTCTCCTACCTGGGGCTTGAAATTTGCTGCTTTCGCTGTGGGGCACCTGCCTGTATCTCCTGCAAAGTAGACATGGTCGTGATCCTGGACTAAACATGAAAAAAATCGTTCATGCTTTTCCTAGTACCAGGAGTTAAGGGGTGAACATAACCTCCATTTTCTGCACTCCCTGAAGCCCCCTTTGGCCCATTTTCCCTCGAAATCCCATCAATCCAAAACCTTGCAAGGGCGTCTCCTGCCGCACGCTTCCAACCTCCAGCATGGCAAAGCCCAGCTGCATTGAAACAATGAGGAATGTGCACCTGAGAACCCCTCCAAAGCTCACTTCTTTGGCTTCTTGCTCAATTTGCTTGTCTTCTCATGTGGCTTCCTGCAAGGGTCTAGAAGAGCACAATGAGCACTGACGGGCTGGGGAAGGTGGCACCCAGGCTCCGAAGAACACACTTGTGGTGCCTGAAACTGCATCTAACCCCCTTCAAGAAATTCATACGGACTCCAATGCCGCGAAGCTTAAAACCCGGTGACAATGAGAAAGGGGGGGTAATAATAAAAGCAGCCCGAGCGCATCAGAATCGGCATCTGCATGGGGATCGTCATTGACGGCAACTCCTCAGGATCATGCTAGGACTCATGACAGTTTTTTGAGTGCAGTTGTACATGGCCGTCCTTTCCCTACTGGCTTGAACTGGCCCCCCTGTAGCACGGCCGCCTCCAGCCCCGACTCTCAGCGCATCACACGGGCATTCAGACGCCCTACCCCCTAAATCCTGCCATTTCCTGCGCACATGCGGACCGCGGGCTGCTGGGACATACGCCTGTCCTCGATGCATTTGGCATGCCAAGCGTCGTGAGAAGGAGATCTGCTCACTCCTTCTTCAAGACCCTTAGGCTCCACCTTGGCTGATTTTTTGGGCTGACCTGCTTGAAAGCCTCTAAGCTAAGAAGCGGGGCAACCCCATGTTCCTCCCTTTCCTTGTGGTGGAGTGGAAGGGCAGAGTTTCGTGTCTGAGCTTTCTTTAAAAGCGGGTACCTGGCCAGAAACTGGCCAAATATGATGCCATGTCGAGACTTACGGCATGTACAGTCTGACGATTTATGCAACGACATACAGATGTCCGTGCCCTGTCTCGAACCCGGACTCTTCGGGCCCAGCAGGGGTGTAAGTAATCATTGCGGCCCAGCAAAAAAGTCAACAGCCCATGGAATCCCTCAATCGCGGCAACCTGTTGGAAATGATGTGAGCAGAAGTCAGTATACTTGATGGTCTTAGGGCTTCTTGGGTGGGATGGGCCAGATGGGACCGGAGAACACATACCCAAGTTTAGGGGCTTTGCAAAAAGGAGTGGAACTGCTTGCTTCGAGGCGCTCAGTGGCGGCCTAGGCCATTGTCAAGCTCGACGGCCGCACTCCACGCAGCCGGAGCTTTAAAGTTCGCTTCAAGAGATATGGCTGCGGATCGGATGCTTCAGCCCTCGAAGTGAAGTGACTGGGCGTGTCTTCTGCAGTACCTTCACCATGCCAACCTCAAAACGCTCGTACTGGAAAGGAGGCAGTGTGTTTAGAGAGTTCAGGTGCCACCACATTCTCGCCACGGCTACGGCGGCTACGACCTCGCAAGCGACAACCTGCGAAGCGCTTGTTTCGCCAGCCTGAAGCAACCAAATCCCTCCAGGCAAAACGCTTGCAATTGATCCTACAACCCGGCCTCCCCAGCACGGATCTAATAAGGCTCCGTCTGAACTCTAGCAAACGGCCTCGAAACCTTGAGGGTCCAATAGCCAAGTACAGCATCAAGTATTTCAAATACCCCCAGAGCCCCTCCAAAGCCCATCCGAACTGCTTGGAAAGGTGCTGCGCTGGCTCTGGATGGGCAGTGGCAGTCTGTTGGCCTGGGCTCTTGAAGGATTTCGTGCTTGAGCATCAGGCGGCTAAGAGTTCGTGAAGTGCGCCACCTGCAAAAAGCCTCTAAGGCTCTTCAGCTGGTCAGATTTAGGGCTGACTCTTTTCTGGGTTTACAGGCCTTGCCGGCGCTTGAAGCTCATAATTCAGGCTGTCTCGATGCGGTGTTGTCGAGAACCCCAAGAAGCTGATGGAACCCCGAGGATCCTGGGACCCTCCTGGGGCTGCCACCCTGGCAGGGTGCTGCTGGCACCTGACAACGACATTGAACCCAATTGCGGATGTATAGAGCTTCCGGAGGGGGGGGGGGAGAGTCTTGAAGTTCGCTTTGAAGGCGCCCGTGCCGCCTGCACATGGGGCGTCGGCGGTGTTGGGGTCGCCGCGCAACCTGGCACATTCAAGAGAATGCAATGGAATCCCACATCGGTGTTTGTTGTCTGGGCGGGCAGTGAGGCTAGCAATGGCATCAACCTAATTACTTCCCCCTAAATAGGGAGCGGCCTGGAGGAGTTGGCCCGGATTGCGCGGCCTGAGATGTTCGGATTGCGGTGGCTTGGGGTGGTTCAGGGCTGTTCGGGGTTTGCGACGGGCACCACAAGAATTTCGTTTTGTAAATCGAGGGAATCGGCCAGCTGGATCGGAAGCAGCCTCAGCCCACACTCCCTCGAAAGTCTCCGGTGGACGGTGTTGCTTCTGAACACGTCCAAAACAGCAAGATGACAGCAACCACCGCGGCACAACATGCCACCGCGGAGCAAGCAGAAAAAGCCACTTCCGCAGTGCAAAGCACAGTGCACAGTGGGCTCGATTGTTTGTTTTGACGGACTTGCGGGGCTGGCATGAGCCATGAGCTGCGGAATGGGTCACGACCCTCTGCAGGGCGGGTCGGATTACATGTGACCGGCGAAGATACTGTATGTGGCCCTTTCCTGACTCCTATGCCTGTGTTGCCATCTGCAACCAGAAGCTTGGACCCAACGCTGACATGCGTTGCAACCGGTGCTCAGCACGCGGCTACCCATGACCAGGGAACGAAGGGATACCAGGGACCTGCATTGCACAATAGAGCCGCATCCCAAAGCATATGCAATGAGGCCTCCACCGGATGCCATAGACTCAGCTCAACGTCTCGAACTGTTAACTTGAATTCGACACCCTCGCTGACAGGTAGTGGCATGTCGCTACACCTGAAGGCCGCCGGCCGGGAGTGAGTTTGAAACGTCATCCTCGCCTTCGTTCACTTCCTCTAGGAACTGAACCCACCCTCAACCAGCAAATGGAGGAATGCACATCCGGCCTGGCCATGCCACCGGATGTGACCCTGATGGCCTCGGTCGGCTGTCCGATTACGCCACTCTGAGGCTAAGCTATCTGGGCTTCAAGGGTTTTGAGTTACTGGGGCCACACTTACATTCAGGGGACGATAGGGAGGTGGGTCCCGGTCAACGAAGACCACTTCCTCAACCCGTGTACCTGCTTCGTCCGCCCCCATGGGCTTTTCTGGCACAAGCTGGCACGCAGTTGTTCATTGATGTGATGATGATGATGATGATGATGATGATGATCTTTTCGAAAACCCATCACTTCTGATCCAGGCAAGCTTGCGTATGAGAGAGAGAGAGAGAGTGAGAGAGCGTGTGCGTTTTGACTTCGCGACTTCGTGATTTCCTGGTCCAAGTGCCTTTGCCACGCAGGACAGTTGGGACGCACAGGGGGAACTGGGTCCATCATTGACGCAAAAAACACAAGACATTGGCCAAGTCTGTGAAATCTGAAGAGGGCCCATGAGTGGCACGACAGAAGACTTGCTTTACTCTTGCAGTAAGGACTTCCAAATGCACTAGACTTGAAGCGAATCCTGGGTCAAAGGCGGTCCGGTACTCTGCGCACCTCCACGCGATTTCTTGGCCACTGGAAGCTTCAAGAGTTGTGGCACTTGTGGGAGGTTTCAGCTGCAGCCCCGGGGGTTGAGCTGTTTTGTGGGATAGAGGCCTTCGCAAGTCAAGCTCCGAATCGGCAAATCTCAGCAAGAACGGCGCTCCACTCCAAGGTTCGGAAGGGGTTCTGGATGATTTTCAGAGGAGGTTCTGGGTCCGCCATGCCGGGTGTCTCCTACTACGGTTTGGTTTGACTATGACTATACCTGGAACAACCTCACACAAAAAAATGCTCTGTGGATGCTGCGGGTCGGTTCTTCAACCCGCCTCCCGCTGTGGTGGCGACCTGCGACATTAGTGGAGGGCAGGTTTTGACCTTGGGATTCCGGCGACCAGTCGCCGACCGATTACGTGCCCTGTGGCTTCTACCTGGGGAACGTCCAGCGCGCAATATCCTGTGGGTCGGGTGTGAAAAGTCTCTCAGGAAGCTACAATCAATGACATCATGGACGAGACAGAACTGAAGCTTTCTTCGTCCGTACATTTTGTTCATTCCATTGTTGTGGAAGGACCACTGAATGAAATCTTCTTCTTATTGTTATTACTATGTGTTGTTATTCTTATTATTCTTCTTCGTCTTCTGCTTCTTCTTCTTCTTCTTCTTCTTCTTGTCCGAGGGCTTGGGGGGCAAACCCCCGCGCAGCAGCACATGTTTGGCCCCGTGTGTTGCCCGATGGCCGCCCTGCGACATCCGAATCCTCGTTCAGCTCATGTACTTGGGCCCCGACGTGTCAAGGCTCCCGTTCTTGTGGTCTACTCTACTCCAAAGGACTACAAAGTCGCCATGCATTTTTTAAGTCCGAAGACCTCCCAACCCGCCCATTGCTGTCGGGTTCTTTCACCGACTCTTGGTAGGCTTAGTTGCCCGGAGTTTTTGTTGGTCCTTTCGGGACTCTTAGCTGGCAGGCTCTTAGACCGAGACCACACTCGACCCATTTGGCTGTTCTCCTTGTGCTTGCTCTTTAGGCCTTGATGTGCGCATGTTGGAGCCCAGTCTGTGGCAGAATCTCAGCGGGCCTGTGGTCCGGGGTTGCTTGGTTGGATCATGAAGCACCAGTCTCCCTGAACGATTGGCCATGAAAAGCTCAGACAAGCGGGCCTGGCTGATGCCCTGACTTCCAGGCGTCAGCAGCGCGACATCCTCCAAGGTCGACCTGGCTTCTGAGGGGCTGTTGTGCCACTGTAACTTTGCGGTTAATCCGTTCTGGGGTGCTGCGTTTTCGGGTGTTCAAATACTTCTTCTGCGACATCTTTGCACTGCCTCTCTGCGCATCGGTAAGAGCTCACGTTGGGGGACCTCCAGCTACAGCAGAGGCTCCTCAATCCGAAGAGGACTATGCCGATTCTTATGCATGCTTTTGATTTTTTTCGCTTCTGTTCTGAGCGAGGGGTTTCTTCCTACATTGACTCGGGGCAGAATCAAGTTCAATGGGTGGTGCTGCGCTGTTAGGCATGTAGATGCACCCAAGTGCAACCGAACACGGTTGCCAAGGCAAGCCAGACAAAGACCTCAATATTGATATTAATAATACTATTAATATTAATAATACTATTAATATTATTAGTAGTACTACTACTACTCATAATAGTATTAATTATTACGTATTATTATTATAGCACCAAATTAAGAGCCACGACTCAAAACACACCTGGCTTAGGTAGGCTTTGCGCAGCTTCCTGCTCCATCCAAGATGGAGAGGTGGGATCAGTGGACACTTGCAGCGATTCGGAACAGTAAAGGCAGTATCTCCCTCTGCCTGGTCGCCAGCAGACCAGGGCTTATCACCTCAAGCACATGGGCTGGGGTCCGGCTTGAGCGTGGTCAGGGGGAAGTCACGGCACGCGAAGCAAAGCACCGGCGATCTTTCACCAAACAGTCGAACCTTCGACTCAAGCATGAAGCCCAAACAAGAACCAACCCCTCAACACCGAAAGGCCAAGTCCAGCGCGTGACGGGTCTTTGCAGGTCTTTGCATTTCTGGGGCCCTGGCGTCCTTGGCCAGGGCCTGGAGGCACACATCGAGGCTTTCTGAAGGGGTTCTGGACCTCACGGGGTTTCGGTTTAGGCTTCTGGGCCACCCGCCTAGCGAACTACGTAGCCACACTAGCGACTACAGCCAGACAGCTGAGCAGCATGACTACAAGCCTCCAAACGCCTTTGTCCAAAAGCCCCTCCCCTACAAACATCGGCAGAGAAATCAAGGAGATCAACGGCTAGGATCATCGGGCAAGCATTTTTCTGGGGTTTGGGCAAGCCTTCTGAATGCACCGTAATCCAACCGCAATTCGCCTCATTTTGCCCGAAGGTGTTAGAGGTTCCATGAAGGCCCTCCTTCCCAATCTGCTGGGGACCTACCAAGGTCGAAAGATACAACTCCCGGCCCAGACTCCCTTTAGACATCTTTAGACACATGTCCGAAGGGTGCTTCTGGTGGCGGATGGATCCCCTCCCCTCCCCCCCTCCCCCCCTGAAGATCTGAAGATCCCTCGGTACAGTAAGCCCTAAACCACCAAGCCCAACCGTGATCCCGAAGGCAAGCTTTCGAGCATGACAAGTTCTTTTTTGCGGGCCAGGCCGAGGCGGACGCGCTGCAGCGTTTTTGGAATGCACCCGACTGGACCTGGTAGAGGCCAGGAAGTTCCTCTTGATGTTCCTGAAGCTCGGCCTCTGGTGGCATTATCACAGCCGAAGCCCAATCGCACCTCCCACACTGAGGACTTCTGACCAAAATCCACAACCCAAAGCCATGGCAAGACATGGCGGCACAGGCTGGAATCTGTACGGTAAAGTGGGGGGCACGGAGTTGCGAAGTTTACGCCTAGCAGTACTTAGTGTGTAGAATGTGGGAATGGGTATGCAGATCGGGTGTTCTGCCGCCACAAAGAGAAGCCTGGTACGACACCCAGTATATATGCAAGAGCTTCATGACGGAGCTCCATGTTCAGCATAGCATCGGCTCTTTTTTGCGTTTCCGGAGGCGACGCCGTGCAGATAGGCTTTGCGTCACAAGCCTTGTCAAGCCGGTCAGCTGGTTATCCGCACCTGCCTCCTTGTTCGAGGAACACGATCGGTGTCAGGGTTGAGGCTTCGACAGAGGCAAAAACAATACGGAAACAGGGCGAGTCTTCAAGTCTTCCTGGTTCTGGCAGATTCCCCCGTGGCTTGATGTCGCGTTAGTTCCAGTTCCAGCCAAGGAGGTGCTGGAGACCAGATGCAAGCTGTGAGGGCTGACAAGAAAATGCCTTTTGTCGGCGAAAGTCGAAGATGCAACGTTGCCGCGCCCACATCTGCCTCAACCTCAAGCCCTAGAGCCCTAGAGCCCTAGAGCCCTAGAGCCCCTTCAACTCTATGTTTTGAGCCCTCCGTATTACAAGATGCGCTCGTGGAGCCTGGCGTATGCTTCATGCTGCATCTTTCTTTCAATTTCTCTCTTGATAAATGTCTCTCGCCCAGTATATTGCCTCGGGCAACATGCAAAAGGGAACTTGCTAAGTGCCCTATACCACGAAGCTCGTTTTCGAGTAGAACCGGCAAAAGTGCGGATCTAAACCGAGAATGTCAAAGCGCCACCCGCTACGAGCGACTGGCTTTCTGAACTTCATGGCAGGGTCATGCGAACTACGAGCAGCTCTTGTACTTCACTGGCTTCAAGTCTCGATTGCTCGTCCGCGCATGCTAGTCATTCAGGTTCCCTCATGTGTACCAGCTACCTGCAAACAACTGAACAACTGGAACTCACGTATGCCACATCCTGCGAAGCGGAACCTGAGAAAAATTGACAGTCCAGGCTGTCAGAACTCGAACTCGTGGTTTAATGTCGCTTATGCCAGGCTGCTTATGCCAAGGCTTTCTGCGACCGCCACCTCTACCTGCTGGGCGCCAAAGAACGTGCCGATGCTTCAACGGCTGAGAGGACTGCAGCTGCCCGAAAGGAAGTCTCAAGACCGGTGCACCACTTAGGTTTAGTACGTGTACCATCCAGGTCCCATTGTTCTTTTGCATCTCCGGACACCTGGCAAGGCCTTGTCCCAGAAACGGCCTGGGGAGAACGACTAGAAGGGCCGTCATCGTGAGGAACTTTGGCAGATCTGGCATTCTGCCTGAACCTTTTGTTTGAGGCTGCTTTAAGACGTTAAGACTTTGTGATGCCGGGGATTGAAGCTAAGGGTGTGGTCCTTCAAAAACCCTTCTTCAGATCTATCGACGAGTGCCGCAAGTATGGCAGCCGAGTTAACAATACGAAGGCTTTCCTCCAACAAGCAGTCAATGAGTCAACTCTTGAATCTTGGGCTACTGTTGAGAGTATAAATGGCACAAGCACAAGAACCTCACGATGCAAGTGCAGCCCGAGGGCTCTTTGGCAGCTTTGCCGGCCAAAGTCCAACACGTCTCTAGAAGAAGCTTGGGGGAAGCACTGTGCTGCTGCTCGTTCTGGGGAGAACTCATGGAACAAGGCACTGCCGCCCCTCATAGCATGTGCTGAACCGCGTTGCCTCTTTTTCCATGAAGAGGCGGACTGCCAACATGATTGGCCGTGGAGCCTGTGACAATGGTAACACCTTCGATGAACTGGGCTTTTTCCTGCGAAGACTTCAGCAGTCTATATAGATTATGCATGTACGCGTGGGCGTTCAGAAACTGGAAGGTTCAGCGTGCCATCACCGATTTAAGGGCTTTGTGAAGCAGAGGCTTGGGCTGCTCAAGAGTGCTCGCGGAAAAGGCCACACACTCTGATGGAACTCGGGAAAGCAATTGAGCATAGGGCGGCTCCGGCTCCCATATTCGCCGGAGCGCTCAGGAACTCAACAAGATTGTTGCACATCCTGGGACAAAGGGTTTTGGGGGCTGGTTAAGTCTAGACTAGGGACTGGAGAGCTAATGGTAGCCAATTGAATAGACACTAGGTCAGATGCTATCGCCCAGGCAAGGGATGGTCGGACCACGTGCACGACATTGGGGAATATTGGGGACTCAAGGCCTTTCTCGAAGTCAACCTGCTTGTGTAGTGGAACGGAGATCAAGGAGGGCACCCCGGCACAAAACCCTCACTGGAAAGCCTGGGGGCGATGCCAAAGTTGAACCTTGAAGGCCGGGCCTTCGGGCCTCATTCTCGCAGCCTGTCCTCAAACCTCCTCCCCTCCTTCTTCTTCTCTCCCCCTCTTTCCCACAAGCCCCCCCCCCCCACACCATAGACTTTGGAACTAGCCAAAAGCCACGTGCTCTTGCTAAGTGACGGCATGCTCTGCGACGCGCACGTCGTCGAAGATGGGGCCTGGTCTGTCTTCAGAGTTGGACGCTTTGAGTTTGACGTGGGGCAGTCGACTCGAAAGCAGGCGAGGCAGATGCAGGTTTACGGCATATATACATAGTTCCCATAATTATTTTTCTATATATATATATATATACATATACATATATACATGTACATGTACATATACATATTATAGAGATCATGCCGAGTAGGGTCAAATTCGAGTCGAAGCATTGCTTGCGACTTAGTTGAAGAGGTTTCTGGGTTGGGTGTCAGGGCTTCGACGTGGCCGATCGAGTGCTTTTTCCTGCGTGTGACCGCTTCATCTTTGGACCTTCCCAGATAACCACGAAGTCACTGAAGACAGGAAGAAGCCTTTAACTCTTGTGGCAAGAAGAAGCTGGGTACGCCTATGTTCACAATCAAATGCTGGACTCTGAACATCCCAAGCTGCAGCTTCAGGCAGGGATGTGGAACATCTGCAATCATGCTCAGAAATTCTGAGCGCCCGTCCCGACATGGCCCAGTAGCGGTTTCGTGTTGCCGGGTCTTGCCCGCTGCCTCGCAAAGATCCACTGCACTTCGTTGGTTCGGGGCTTTCCGCAGATGGAGTCCTTATTGCTGTTGCTGTTGGGGTGATGGTGGTGCGTGCTTTGCCTGGACGTGAAAGGAATGGTCTCTATAAATGGGTGAGATCGTGGATATGCGGTCCCCAGCAGCCGGGTTCCAAAGGATTGCACACACACACACACACACGCACACACACACACACACACACACACACACACACACACCCACACACCCACACACACACACACACACACACACACACACACACACACACACACACACACACACACACACACACACACACACACACACACACACACACACACACACACACACACACACACACACACACACACACACACACACACACACACACACACACACACACACACACACACACACACACACACACACACACACGACTGGTCTTTAGAGTTCGGAATGCTCATGTCGAGACTCGGCTTGTCCACAGGGTGAGTCTCCTGATTCCCAGGACAAGACTCGCGCTTCCGCCCCGGAGCAATCCAGCATGAAAGGGGTCTAACCTCCACTCGGAAACAGTGGTTGCGGACCCTGTCGCCAACACCCCAAACCCCCGGAGCAATGCAGCACGAAAGGGGTCAAACACTCGGACACGAGTGCTTGGACCCCCGTCGCCACCCCCAGACCCTCAGCGATGCAGCACGAAAGGGGTCAACACCCCCAAACCCCCGGAGCAATGCAGTACGAAAGGGGTCAAACTTTCACTCGGACACAAGTGCTTCCGGACCCCTTCGCCAACACCCCCAAACGACCGGAGCAATGCGGCACCAAAGGTCAAACCGTCACCCGGAAACAAGTGCTTCCGGACCCCAACCCCGGAGCAATGCAGCACGAAAGGGGTCAACCCGTAAACAAGTGCTTCCGGACCCCGTCGCCAACACCCCGGAACAATGCAGCACGAAAGGGGTCAAACCTGCACTCGGAAACCAGTGCTTCCGGACCTCGCCGCCAACACCCCCAAAACCGCCGGAGCAATGCAGCACGAAAGGTGTCGAACCTGCACTCGGAAACAAGTGCTTTCGGACCCCGTCGCCAACCCGCGAGCAATACATACAGCACGAAAGGGCCTCGAGCGTTGCAGAGATAAATGCGCGGATCGCATATAAGGTTGGAGGACGGCATGGTGTGATGGGGCTTGTTTGGGTGCTCAGGGCTTCGAAGGGTTGGAGGGCCATTGTCTTTGCCACTTACCCGGCTGACACTCTCGACGCACAATCAGGCCCCCGTAGCAGAAGAAAGAACTCAAGTGGAGCAGGCTTCATCCCTGATGGGGGTTACGCACGCCAGAGAACTGGCTGCCGCAATTCTGCAAGGTAGGGGCCGAGGCACTCCTGAGCAAAGTTCTCTAACCTTAAACGCGCTTCAAAGAGGGACATGCCATCAAAGCGAAGCCATCCTGACCCAAACCCTTAACCTGCCTGTGTTTGAAGCACTTCGCAAGCGGCTGCGCATCATGTTCCAGTGCTGGTGCAGGGCCACCTGCCGGGGTGCTTTGCTTTAGGGCCTGAAAGGGGAGCTCCCTTTTAAACCTGTGCGGGTGCTACAATGCTACGCTTCATTAAAGCTGGGGAGCACTGTTTGCAGATGCTGGAGACTGATCATAGCAGGGTTTAGGCTTGGGGCGTGATGTGGGGGGGGGGGGGGGGTTAGGTCTCCGATCAAGGGGCTACCAAGCATTGATCCAAAGTGTCAGGGTCTGAGCGTGCTCTCTTCCGCCTGTCGTCGTCTTGAGCAGTTGGGCATTTTGCCGATTGAAGTTTTGAACACGTCTGTGGTTTGAAGCTTCCAAACGCAGCACTTTTGCACCTGTGAGGAATAGCATCTCGAGGCCCCATAAGCCCCCAGATCCCCAAAACCCCCGAAACCCGAAGCTCGAAGCCTTTAAACTTCAACTAAAGAGCCCTTGAAGCATAGAGGGCATGGGTCATCCATGCGCCCTAACGCAACTGCAGCCCCGCCTTGGCAGGTGTAAGGCGTTGCGGGGCCTGGCAATTTGGGTTTACTGCTTGTGGTGCTTCTGAGGATCGGTAGGTTTTAGAATCAGGGCTTGGGTATGAGGATCGCGTTTTAACATGCACGTGGCTCAGTGTGCGTGTGGCGTGCATGCGTGCAGGTGGCCTTGGAGTTCCTCTGGGGATTGGCTAGCTCTGACAGGGCTTCAAAGATGCAATCTGGGCCTCACGGAGGGCCTCTTTGCATTTCACAACATAGATGTTTGCGTTCACTCGGCTCTCTTCCCGGCGCTCGTAGTTTTGTTACACCCCCAAAATATAGTCTTTTTGCTGTGGCGTTTGTCATTATTCATGTGTGAGGCGTGCACAATCATATCTTACTCTTAGTGCACGCATAAACTACTCTATTCATAACATTATCCGCGAGAAGATTCTTATTCCTTCGCGCGCACATGAATATGCCAATAGCCCCAATAGCGCGCGATAAGCAAAGTAAAAAGACGAACGCCCAAAACCCCTTCAAAGTAATTACAATGTGGGTGTTTTTGGGCTGCTCTCTTCGTTCACACATTTATTAGCCTCTCCCCCCCCTTCTCTTCCCATAATTTTAATCATCAGAGTAATATGAATAATACAAAAATATACAAAATTAGTATTAATGATATTAATAATATTTATGAGATTAACAATCCTAATAATCTTGAAAAATATTACTCTTAATAATATATATATATATAATATATATAATATATAATATATATATATATATATGTATATATACAATATATATATATAATATATATATATATATATATATATACAATACTAATCCCATCTTGCCTCGACGACTCCCTGCTGCAGCTGCAGGGTGCTCAGGGAGAATTGCCCTCCGGTGGTTCCCGTGGTGCGATCGGTCCGGTTCGACTCATCTATGGAGCCTCCAGGCAGACAGAAACCCCTATCCTGAATAGCACGCTTTGGGCGTCTGTGGTTCAATCCCAAGGCGATCCTTACAGTTTGTTCTCAATCTTCTTTCGGATGCACGGAGGTTCCTAGCACACCCCAAGGCTGCAGATCCAAAGCGAGTTTGATGACGGAACTCTCGCCTAGCTCGAGGCTTTCCTTGACGCCTCTCAGCCCCCCGAACCTCGGTTATCCTCATGCCCAGCACCCAGAAACAAATCCTGCAACGATCCCTTTGCAAGCTCGGCCGTGGCCCACCTTGGCTGCGGGGACTCTCAAGAGGGCTCCACGTGTCATCGCGTGAGGAGCCGTCCACCAACTCGGTCAGAATGGGTCGGTTCAGGGATTGGGAGTTAAAGCAGTAGTTAAAGCCATCCATGCACACATTGCTTGACCCTTTTGCTATCTTTTGTGGTATGGCTTTCAAGGCTTCAGCAAGCTCATGCCCTGCTAGAGCTGCTGGGGGAGCCGAGGCCGGCTCAGCGCGACCGGGGGAACTATGGGGGAATCTGGGCCCCCATGGATCCTCAAAGCTCGATGGCAGGGCCTTGGCGCCCTCGCGAAAGTGATCATCGCCTCTGCAGAGGAAGCTGCTGGAGGGATGTCTTCGTTTCGGGTTGCGTCACCTTGAGAGAACCTTGAAAACAGGAGAAGGGGGTCGTTCCACCCCCAGCAAATGCCCGCACTTCGACCTTTCTTGGTGGGACATGGTAGTGGAACGCCTGAACCGTACTCCAGCAGAGAAATGGCCAGCTGTCGGTGTCCCCAAAGGCTGCGCGAGACGTAGCCTGGGGCACTTAGAAATGTTGGGCGCGTGACAACATGCTTCGACCATGCTGTCCGCCATGTTACGCTTGATCATTCACTCAGAGTTTCTCTCCTTGGCGAGTGTACGAAGAAACACAACGAGAGAAAGAGAGAGAGAGAGAGAGAGAGAGATATATATATATATATGCTCACGCCCCCCCCCCCATGATCCACGTTTCTGCTTCGAAACAGATGGATCTTGGGAGGAGAGGGGGCCATGAGCTAGCGACAAAAACACCGACAGGGCCGATAAAGACCTATATCATTTCAAGTCAGGCAGGTCATTTACATCAACAAGGTAGAAAAACACCCGAAAAAAACATTTTTTAGAAAACTCGAGCCGGCTCGAATTTTCCAAAAAAAAACTGACACCGTATGTCGCCCAAACGCGAGCAGGCTCGAATTTTCAAAAACAAACCTAAACTGCAGGATCTATGGCTCCAGCAGCCCGCTAGATCCTGAAAGTTAGTTTTTTTTTAGAAACTTCGAGCCTGCTCGAGTTTCTGGGACCTTGAGCTTCAAGAATTTTCGGAAAATTCGAGCCGGCTCGAATTTTCTAAAAAATGCTCAGACCATGGCTGTGTGACCCCAAGGCCTCATAGATGACATAATTTAGGATTTTTTGGGAAAATTCGAGCCTGCTCGAGTTTTCGAGACCTGGAGCTTCAAGAATTTTAGGAAAATTCGAGCCGGCTCGAATTTTCTAAAAAAATGCTGAAACCATGGCTGTGTGACCCCAAGGCCTCATAGATGACATCATTTAGGTTTTATTGGAAAATTCGCGCCTGCTCGAGTTTTGGTGACCTGGTGCCTCGAGAATTTTCGGAAAATTCGAGCCGGCTCGATTTGTCCCTATATCTCTTGAAATTCTGACTGCGGTAATTGATACAATTAGTAGCATTAGTTACTATTTCTAATTCAATTGTTAAGTTTCCCATATATTCTAACTGCAAATATCTAACTTGTGAGAAGAGGCCACGGAATGGTTTAAATCCAACAGCCGTTTTGTTCTTAAACCCTTGACAATTAACATAAAAACTTCTTTTGTGTAATTTAAAACTTAAACTATCAATGAGGATATCTTCGGGATTAAAAGTTCCCATTATATATAAATAGCACAGATAATTTAATTACATATACATACCTTCAACTTGTATCCAATCAAGTATGTCAAAACTATATGAATTGTCTTTACTATTGTTCTTCTTCCTACCTTTCACCTGCTTATCTGCTTCATCTACTTCATTATTCTCAACTAACTTTCTTATCTCTTCGTAAGCATTTTGTCTAAATTGCTTCTCTATCTTCGATTTCTCTATTTGTTCGTATGTTGTTGCTTTCTTATGAAACGCTATGAATATTATGTCGATTATTGCATCAAACTGTTGTTAAAAACTCTTCTTCGGTTATAGGTAGATGTCCTGCTTTGTTTTTAACATTGCCTACATCTTCATAAGGATGATTTTGTAGAGGGTCTAATGTTGATTTCTTTGATGTTATACTTCCCTAATCAAACATACCAACGGGGTCTCCTGCTTTCCGTATTCTTAAATTTGTCCCAGTGTCTTCTGGTCGCTGTCCTGATAGAAAAGGAGAACCATAACTACGACTTCTGAATACATTACCATAATCATTGTTTATTTGTTGTCCCGATGCTGAACCTAAACTATGACTTACAATACCAGAAATTCCAGTTTTTTCTTTCTTTAACCGTCTATTTCAATAAAACCATCTTATATGAACTTACCTACATCTTTATAACGCTGAGTCTGTTGCGTCTTGTATAAAGGAAGTTTTCAATCATCATAAACATCTCTACCGCTTTTCGTCCCAGCAATGTATAAAATATAACCATTTTTTGATATATCCCGTCAGGATTCTCATACGCTAATTTAAGTCCTTGCGTGTCCGTTAAGCATGTCTCTGTCTTTGCGAATTCGTTTCTAACTTCACTATGTAGTCTGCTTCTTGTGTTAGGTGCTTTATTTGAAACCCCTTCATCTCTTCTTTTATGTTTATGCATTCTACAATGGTTTATAAATCATTTTTATCTAATCAATGAATATTGTTGACTTTGAAGAAGGTGTATATTGAAAGCCATTATAGAGTGAATAACAGAGATTAGCAAACCACACAAAACCAAATCCAGAAACGGATTCTGTTTGTAGATTTCTGCTGTTTAAAAGTGTAGATAATCAATAGCAAGTTGTAGCTTCAGACATGGCAAGACACGAAAGTATCGTAAATACCGGTGTTTTCACTTCAACAATATGTGTAAGTAAGCACAGGTGCAGAAGGACAAGCAAGAAAAGGATACATATGGATCATGGGGGGGGGTGTGACCATATATATATATATATATATATGCTGCCATTGAGAGGCAGACATGGCAGTTTGCAAGGCATGCTCACATCCTGAATGCCCCGCATCCCAACTCTAACCCATTAAATGCCGTGCATACCAAGCTCTAACAGCCCTCAGCCAGCTCCCTGCACACTCTCGATAACACGAAATGTCCAAACTCCAAACCTTCGGACGACCTTTGTTGTTCCACTTTGTCTCCAGGAATTTAGGGCGAGGGGGGCGGGGGGGGGGGGGGGGGGGGGCTGATGGGTGAGGTTTTGGCTGGTTGTAGTTCAAGCTCGCAGCATGGAGCTCTTGGAGAAGGTCCTTTAAGAGCTGCGAAATTCTAGGGGTCGAACTTTCTGTTCGGCCTTACAACTTCAAGCCAACTTAACCTTCAGGACAGGAACCGGCATCTTTGAAGGCTAAGGGAAAAGAGATTTGAGGCTTCTGGAGTTCCAGCTGCTTAAAAGCTGATTGCTATACTTGCTTTCCAGGGCAAGAGGCGAGATCAAGAAAAATGAAGGACCGGGGATAGTGATTTGAGCTTCGGGGCTACCAGGGGGGGTTGCTGCTTGGGCTGGTTGCATTCTCCGGGTGGCATTCGGCTTTCGCCTCGACTCCTCCAGCAAGAAGGACCTTGAAGGACGTGCTGGTGAATAGCCCAGGGCTCAAGGGCTTGCATGGCACGCGCCTTTAGGCCTTCTTCAGCATTGCCTAAAACATCGAAAATGTGAGTCCTCATAGCCTGAATATGCAGTGTGCCTCATGAGGCTAAGTTCACAGCATTGCTGAGCGCAGATGCGACGTGCATGCCAGCATGAATGGCTTGCTTCGCGTTTATCAGATGGTCAGAACAACCTTTGAAGGCGGTACGCACGATCTCCACAAACCACAAACATATTTCAGAGCCTTGTGACCAAGACCCAGGATACTGCACCGTAGCTTTACAGATAGTTGTCGCAGCTATCCCGAGGGCCTACGTTACGGTACCGCGGCACCGAGTGGCTGTAAGAGGCGTTTTGTGTGCCATGAAGCTCAGCTGCGTATCCACCTTGCAGGGTTGCCCTGGGAATGTTAGGTCAGAAGGCCCGCAATACTAAACACAGCCAAATCTCTGGAACCACTAACCGCCAAGGCCTAGTGTGCTACCGATCCTCCACCTGTTTGGCGATCTGCACGAGACGGCGCCTCTCCTCAACAGATGCAACCGCCTCTCAGAACAGAGGGCTCTAGTCTTTTGGAGGGTCGCGGAGTTGAGGTGTCAGAGCTTAGGAATCGGGGTAGAAAAATGTGGGCCCCTAACGCCCACACGAGAAATAACGGGCGTGAATGCAAAGAACTGGCACGTACTTTATGCTTCTTGTTCAATCGCGTTCATGTTCAAGTCTTCACTCCTTATGAACCAATTAAAGAAGCAAAACAATAGAATTTAGAATGAAGAATCCCGTACATATTCAGGGCACACACGGGCTTATAGGGTACATTCGTGCCCCCGTGAGCTTACATTAGTCAGAATACTGCAGAGAGGTACGCCAGCCTCACGCAAGAAGTCGCTCGTCCCAGCGGTGAGGCCGGTGATCCTTGATGGCTTAAGGCTTAAGGACTCGCCGAGTGCGGAAGCCCACGTGGAGGGGGAAAACGGGAACAGCGGCAAAGTCTGTGCCCATAAAAAAAAAAAAAAACCGCGGGGGATGCTGAGAACCGGAAATGGTACAGCATGTTCTTCGTGGTGGGGTTCTACCCAATTTGTCAAGTTGATGGGGGCTTTGGGTTGATGACCCGGAACGAACGAAGCTCGAGAGCCTTCCCTGATCTTGGTATTGGTACCTTGACATTGGGGTGAAGTCTGCAGGAATTATGTTTGGACCTCATGGGTTCAGGCCCCAGCCCTGCACTGCAAGGCGCTCCCGAGGTGCTCAAAGGATCCCAATTAGCCCCCAAGCTGGCCCTGAAGTGCCCCTTCAGTGCCCTTATAAACTTATAGGTGATTTTTTGTTTTCCTTCTCTTGCTGGGCAGCGAGCGATGCGGTGCGCTCCGATTTGCAGATTTGAAATGCCCGTCGATCGTGCAGAGGCAGGGTGAAACATGGACTGCTGTACAGTGTGTCTGGTGTGTTGCAGCTTCCCCCAGAACAGCCAAGTTACAGCACTCAACCCAAAAGCTCCCTAGCCGCGCCAAGCAACCTCAAGCAAAACCCCTCCCTCAACTCTGGCGCTGAACCCCTACATTCTACACTCTACACCTCAAAAACCTCTTGAAAGCTTCTATAACCCAGTGTAGCCCGCGAACCACAAAGCTACGCCCTCTCCCTGGGCAAGCGCACGAAGAACAGCGCGCACGCGAGGCCTGGCAGTCCCAGACCCCGGAACGTAACGTGTCCCAATAGCTGGCGAAACAAAAATGGCCGGAAGTGGGGCAATTCCAATATGGAATAGGACCCAAACCCACCAAAAGCAACTGCCGGACCCCGTCATGTCCCAAACAGCCAAAGAAGCTATGAGAAAGCTCCTGTAGCTCTCAATGCGAATACACGGCGCTTGAGACATTTTGGACTAGTGGTTGCTCAACAAGCTTATTTTGAAAGAGAACTTTTCAAACGCGTTGAGAACACGGTGCTTGCGATTTGTTTTTTGAAAGCAGTTGGTTCAGTCACCCTATATAAGGGCACGACAGTTTGTACTGAAGTCTTAGGGACACTCCCGCCGAGTTACTGACTGTCGAAAGCTGTGGTTCTAGGGCCTTAGGAATTGTGCCAGGTCCACATTGACTCCTGCTCTCCTCTTCTTCTTCTTCTTCTTCTTCTTCTTCTTCTTCTTCTTCTTCTTCTTCTTCTTCTGCAGGGCTTGGGGGTCCTAGAAGACCCCTCGCGCCTAGGCGCGCCCAAGTTCGCAGTCATCGTGAAACCACTGCTCGATCCACCGCGGTGTGAAATTTGCCCTCCCCCACATAAGTTATGCTAGGTTACCTTCCCCCAAACCGTTTACCCGGGCTTGCTCCTCTGTTGGGAGTGGCTGATTAGCCTTTCCCCGTGGGCCGAGGTGAGAGGCCGCCACGGCTTGCTCCGCGTTCCCAACCCTCCAATGCTGGCTGGGCATGTCTACGTTTGTCCTACCACGTGCTTAGAGCTTGACTTTCCCTTCAAAACTGCAAACACTCCGCTTCTTCTGCTGCTGGGCTCAAGGGGCAACCCCCCATCCTTTCTTTCTTTCTTTCTTGGAGGCACGCGTGTAAGGGTGGTCCGTCGACACACACACACACACACACTCTCTCTCTCTCTCTCTCACTCTCACTCTCACTCTCACTCTCACTCACTCTCACTCACTCACTCTCTCTCTCTCTCTCTCTCTCTCTCCACACGCTAGGCCCGCCCCAAAAAAAGCCGCCCCGAAGGGCGCGAGAGTCCGAGGTCTTGCGGGTGTTCCCTTTCCCGTGGTTTTCACGCGCTCTCTCTCTCTCTCTCTCTCTCTATTTATTTACATTTCTATCTCTCTCTCTCTCTCTCTCTCTGCGACTCTTGTGTGCGAATCACTGTCGTGTAGACGCGCAAGCGCCCTAGCAAATTGCTGAGCAGCAAGTGTTCGCTTGCCCACATCCAGCCGCCTGAGAGAAAGCCGAAGGTGTGGTGCTCAGCAGAGGTCGTGGACGAAGTGCAGGCCTCCCGCTGCGACTTGTTGTTATAAAAGCCGTTAAGAACAGTGAGGTGCAACCATGGCATTGCCTAGGCGATGGGTGCGCGCACAGCATTATTAAGACTCCTAAGACTCAAGACCCCTTCAGAATCCCAAAGCAAGTGCAGCCTCGTAAAGTAAGTTTGGGGCAGAGCCCGAGCCATGTACCAGAAGTGCACTGCTGTAACAAACCACCACGCCAAGCACCTGAAGGGTTGCAGGAAGGCTTGGGAGTTTGAAGGTTGCCTGAGGAAACGTTTTTGGGAGGCCTCCCGTCAGAAATGCCTGGACTGGCTTTTCGCAATGGTCCTTGACTCAGTTGCCAGAGTGTATAGGGTTAGGAATTTTAGGGAAAGGGCCTAGCGGCCAAGCTTATTGCAGCCAGGAACCATGAGCAAAGTGCTGACAGGCACGTCGCCACGTCTTAGCAGAAGCGCAACTAGCAATCCTCAGGCGCGGAAGTTAAAAGGACAGCACAACGAGTTGCTTCAGCAACTGCGCGGTCTGGCCTGTCCCCCTGCCCTGTTGCAACAACCTTGCCAACGAATGCCGAATGCTGATTACTGTAGCTAAACCCCCGGTCAAGTCAGGCCAGCAAGCCAGACTTCTGAGATCCTCCCTTCTGAAGCAAAAGTCGCAAAATGCTCTCGACATTTCCCTGAAACACATCCCTGAGTTCCCTCTTGGGTCTGAAGCAAGACCTCTTCTTGCCTGGGCTCCTAAATAGCCGCACACCACGCCGCTAGCGCCTGCATGGAATGCCGGCCGCGCAAGACACCAAACCTCTGCGCAGGGGGTAGATCGGATGCTGTAGGCCTTGAGGGTTGAAGATTGTTAAAAATTCAAGGCGCAGTGGCAGGAGCTTTACAGAGGGCCTGCGCGCTTCCAGCCCAGATGTTCTAGCTTTTCGGGGCTTGTCTGCTGACCAAGGTACCAAGTCGGAAAGTTGATACATGTCATTCGGCAATTGTGAATCTTTGCCCTTGAACCTCTGCCCTCCAGTTCTGCCAGATCTCCAGAGCCCAAAAGCAAGGCGAGTCGCACAAAAGCCGCTGCTAACGGCGATGAACGCAGAGGCTGCTGGCAAGTTAACGACCTTTGAGCTGTTGAATGCTCAACGTACTTGTCCGGACAGGGGATGGTCGGTTGAGCCTACGGCAAGGGCGGTTGCAAGAACTATGGAGAAGATGATGATGCTACCTCCATCCGTGTAGTCGTACGTCGTCAGCGAAGCTTGCGAGAACACACTGGCGTGCCCGTGGTGTCCAGCGCAAGTTGTTCATAATCAAGTCGGGATCCATGAGCCTATTCTCTTCTGACCTTTGAGGTGCCTGTGAACTTGTACAGCAGAGGGGCAGCGTTGAACGTTACCACGTGGTGTTTTTGCCTACTACGTCACTCTGCATGGATGAATCGAGGACTCCGGCAAGGGTGTTGCTTGCCGCCTGTCTAGCACAGCTCCATGGGGCAAGGGTTTAGGCTCTCGGATTACCCCTTTGAGTCTTATGCGCTCTGCCACATCCAAGCTGGTATCAAACGAAGACCTGAGCCTTCCGACATCTTCCGACCTTCCAGTGCCAACAAAACTGGCAAATCCTCTGCCGCCAGGCGGCCCCAGCGCGGATGGCGCAGGCAGCCAACAAGGCCAGGGCTATAGCGTTCCAGAAGAAGTGATGCCAGGAGGAGTGCACCAGACCTCGGGCATCCCACGGCTTCATATTTTTTTCAGGATGCTTCAGGCTCTGGCATCCTGGGATCTTCAGGGCTTGGGGCTCACTTGAGCCAACTGTGGCCTTCGTGACTGACAAGGGCTCGGGTGCTGCAGGGCACCACACTTCAGCCTGCAAAGTTTCGGCTTTGAGTCATGCGACAAGCAAAGAGCACTCCCGGCAGGCCCTGCCAAGTGCGGGGGAGTATGCCTCGGCAACAGTGCTTGAGCTTATGGGTGGCTTGAAGCTCTTAAGCTCGGTCGTTGACAGACCAAGTGCTGTTCAAGACAATCTATACGGGCCCCATGACTCTAACCCTGACCACCCAAGTCAAGCTGCGTCGGGCCCTGGTTACTGGCTATCACTGACCTCTTGGCATGCAACAGGCAAGAAAGCGAAGCTGGTCTCCAGGGGCTACATATGCTTACTTCAAACTTCCACCTCCCAAACCACTTCCAATCCACTCGAATCCAACGCCCAAAATAAACTATGTATCTCGCCCCTTTTCTTTATGGCCGGGCAGCTAAGCCATCGCACCGCGCCTGGAGCACAGGCTGTGAGGGTGGCCATGGCTAGGATCGCCTCAGCGATTTCGCTCCACACTGTGAGGGGTAGGCAGGAATGCAGCGGATTCTTGAAGTGGCCTCAGCATGCCCATGACGGGTCTCCCAGTTTTGCTCTGTTTGTACATGTGTTGCACGTGCTTGTACAGGTTTGTACGTGTTTGTACATGTTCGGCTGTCGTCGATATTTTGCAGAACCCAGGGTGGCTTGCTGCTTTCAGTAGTTGCAGAATTCCTTTCCTAGCACACATAATGTCGCCAGGCTCGAGGTTCTGATCTCGCTGACATGCACGAAGCTCTGCACACAGCTTCTTTTTCTGGTGTCCCCTTCTACAACCGGTGCATCGCCTCAACAAGAGGATCAATGTTCTTCGAGGTTGGCTGGGCTGGAGTTGGTTCCAGGTTGTGGCACCAAACCAGTGCTGTCCAGAAGGCAGGGGCCACGATCCAAAGGCGGGGTGGTGCTACTCGAGAAAGGTCAGGTCTGGGCGAACCTCCAGATGCACAATCCTAGGAGAAATCAAGGAGGAGAGGGGGGGAGAGAGAGAGAGAGAGAGAGAGACCGAGAGATGGAGACAGGGACAAAGAGTGAGACTTAGAGAGAGAGAGAGAGAGAGAGAGAGAGAGAGAGAGAGGGAGACAGAACTGCAAGGATTTTGAGAGCAATGTAGAATTTGAGAAGGTGTCTTGGAGGGAAGAGGGAAGGACCAGATTGACGCCCCTTGACATGCTTGGCTTAGCCGGGAGTGTATCGGAGATCAAAGGCCAAAGAATTTGGCCCAGCCGCCTGTGACGTGGCTACATCGTTTGTTTAGACTCGCCTGCCCTTGGCACGGCGCCTAGACGAGGTCAACACCGGCACACACACACACACACACAGGAAAACCGAGAGGCTCATCACGGACACGAGCAGACCGTTCACGATGCAGTTGTGTTGACATCCGAGCGCAGGTGCAGCCACAAACCTCCCCTTCCAAGTCCTCAGACACATCACCGCTAGTTAAGGCTATAAGCTCTAAACAGCCCTGAACCAGCACCCTAAACCCTATACCAGTCCAGTACGGGCCTTCTGCCGACTGAGCCAAGGCTGCTTGGCTGCGGCGTCTCAGGGCCGCCAAGGCCTCCAGGCACAAAGACCTCCGACAGGCTTCCAGGATTGCAAGCGATGTGAGGCTGCGCACTTTACCAGCCTTTCAGAGCCTCATCTGAATCCTGCCTTCCTTGCCCTGCCTGAGCCCTCCACGACCCAAAAAGACCCATGAACACCTCAACCTGGCACAGCTCAGGCTCGCTGCACCCGTCTTTTACTCTCCGAGGGGCAGAGATATCAGAATCACGGCTGCTACCTCCGTCTCCGACCCTGTGGCCTGCGAAGGGTCTGGTGGGTCAGTGGGGATGCCGACTGGTTCGGGCCGGGTTACGCAAGCAGAATTGGAAGCAGCTGGCTCTAAACCCCCATGAAGAACCTCCGGTGCTTCGATGGTCCACCCTGCTAAAGTTTCAAACTTCCAAACATCTGTCGGGCGACCGTTCCCCATACGGCAAGTGCACTGCCCAAGAGGGCGCAGCGTGTGGAGGCGCGCTGCAGTTCAGCGCCCGTGGCACCTCCCACACGAGGAAGGGTTTACAGGGGTTGGGGTCTGGGCTGTTGTTCTTGACGAGTGTTGGGGCATGTGGTTAGTTTTGTGCTGGGTGGGAGGAGCTTATTATGTCGATGAGCGAGGTGTCTACCCGAAGAAGAACGAACCCGGAGAAATGTTCACCTTAATGCTGCTGCTCCAGGCGGGGGGGGGTTATGGCAGTTGGCAAATCTTCACACCTTCCGAGCTTCCACTACCTTCGATACACCTGACGCCCTTGCCCCTGCTCCGCCTGCTCCCTTCCCAGCCACCAGCGGCACACAGGACCAGAGAGGCATTCTCCGGGATCCCTGTTGCCGCGCACTGGCCACTGGATTTCTTTGCACAGGAACTCGAGCCAAAAAAGGCAAGGTTAAGCAAGGTCGGCAGGCGGCAGGGCCTGGTAGTGATGCCCCTGGCAATTGGAAGCTATAGGCTGTCCTGAAGAAACCCTGAAGCAAACTCCCATAAGCCCAGGCAATGGGCATGCGTCGGGTGGCCAGGTCTTCAGAAGCGTTTGGATCGCTAGGCTTGGGAAGCAGGGATGGAGGAAAGGGACTGTCGGTCGGAGAATGAGACTGGAGTCTACATTAGCCTGGATTCAGTGCAAGGTTTCTAGGGTTCCTACAATCGCTCGTTGCTGCATTGCTCGCCCGCTCATGTCGGCTTGGTTCGTAACATATATAGGCAGCCAAGTGTCCGCTCCCCGTCGCCTTCAGACGAGTCCATTTCGACCGCCTGCACGGCCCAAGTCCTTGGTCTTAAGGTTGCCCTGGGCTCGTGTAGGGATTTCCGGCTCGCTTGGCTCTCGCCCCCTAGAATTGCGTGTTCAGGTTGTATATAGGTCGAAGGGATATATCAAGGGGGGCCCCTTGGACCTGAACGCAAATCCCAAATCTGAGTTCGGTGCGGATCTCGCACTGTCACACGGATATCATGGGATCCGCCTGCCAAGGATCTGTCTTGCAATTTCAGGTTCCTGTGAAGGGTACAGCACGAAGTGTAAGGGATCACGCTCAATGTGCACGGAAAGGATAGGTTGGGGCCTCTCTCGAACCCTGTCAACCCTCGACCTGTTTCCACCGATTCCACTGATACCTTTTGAATGATTGAACTCTGGTCTTTCCACTCACGCGACTCTCAGTCGTTGCCAGATACAGTTACTACGAATAGACGACGACTGTGTTTTGCCTGAATGCTGTCCTTACAGGGAATTTGCCCTAAGACTGCGGCGAACAGAGTGCGCTGTGTCCAGAAGATCCAAAGGCCCATCTGGAGCCTGAGACGTGCCAGTGGCCCCAGGTGCTGACAAACAGCGTGAACAAGGGCCCAGTGCAGCTCGCGATCCTGGACGGGCACTGGATGAGGCCCGGGTGTCAGTGAGCATTCCCAAATCAATACGACAAATCACACAAGTATGGAATTAACCCATAACAGCTGGCTCACATGCAGCAAACGGATCATTTGGTTGACTCTGAACTCCACTCACTTGCCATGGAAAGTAAGCCTCGATCCTATTCCCCGTGCAATGCGCCGCGCATGAGCCCGAAACGCTGACGGAACCTCAACAGGCTCAGGAAGAGCCTCGTTTTTTTTGCAGCTTGGCATCAAAGACAAAGACTTCGCAATCACGTCCAGGAAAGTGAGGAAAATGACCTCGGGGCTAATGTGTGGCACTCCTTGTGGCCCCCAATTGCCCAAACACGAGGGGAAGCACGAGACTGCTAACGAGAGAGAGTGTCTCCAAAAAAAGGCTCTGGCCTCCTCCTGCCACGCGCTGATGAAGTCAAAGGATCGCGCGATGTAGATCACAGGGTAGGCCAGCCACAGGACGTATTTCACCTCTCAGGCTTTTGGCGCATCCACTTGTAGACACGGCCAATCATTCGGGCTTCTCTGGGGGACCTCACCGGAGCCCCCCCCCGAGGAAGTGCCAAGTGAAGACCCTCCAACAATCCACTTTCCATGCGTGCCCCCCAGCTGGCCTTGAGGTAGAATATGCCTCGGCACGTCTTAAAGCGGCCTTCAAAGACTTCACCGCAACACCGTAAAGAGATCTTGCAGTTGCCAAACGGCAAGGAGGCACGAAGTTGCTGCTTTTTTTGCGGCTCCACCTACAGCAAGCCAGCAGATTCCCCAAGAGTCGTAACGTTCAGAGGCGCGGTGCATGCAACACGAGGACCCTTTCGTGACTTAGATTCGAGTTGGGCCCATGACCCATGGGGCCCATTGACTTGACCGCATGAGACTCTGCACCAAACCCTGAAGTTTGGTGCATAAACCCGCTTTGCCCGAAGCATGATAAACACCCAAGGACCCCAAAAGCCTCTGAAGACCTCCCACGATGCGCTATCGACTTGTCGACAAGATGCCTGACTTGGCAGTGACTGGCTCCAAGGGCAGCTGACTGGCCTAGGACAAGAGCATGCGGCGGAAAAGAGGCTTGAAGAAGCCCGCCAGTAATGGAGCTCCACATGGCTAGGATTCATCGCTCGGTAGGCGAGGCCTTTTATACACTTCCCGGCCCTTCTTCCAATACCCTACCGGAAAGTGAACAGGGGTTGCTGTGCCGCTTCTCTTGAGAGACCTGCGCCCTCAGTTTTTCTCGTTTTATGGGTGATGCAAGAGTCTCTCTCGGAATTCCTTTGAGCCCTGGGCAGCTTCCACAACCTGGGGGGGGTTGTGGCTTGTGGCTGGTCAGCTTTTGCATGCAAGTGGCTTTTCGCAGGGTGACGAGGAGGCAGGTGGCTGAGAGCATGAACCACATGCGGACCTGGGATTTCACCCGTCGTCAGCCATGCCTGGTGATTCTTCCTAACGTTGCCCCCCCCCCTTCGGGAGCAACCAGTATTTAGTCGCCGTTAAGAACTTCTTGCTCATAAGCTGGTCATTTGCCAAAAAGCAACTCGTAAATAATAGTTCGGAATACCTGTGTAATAAATGCTTCCTAGTTAGTCATAATTAGAAATTAAGAACTAGCCGTTAACAATTAGTGGCTGGCACACAGTGTTTTTGTTTGTAGTTTATCTGCGAATAACGAACTACTCACCAGAAGCTAGTTAGTAACTAACTGCTGACTACAAAGTGTGAAACTAGAAACTAATGACTATATAGGAGTTACTAAAACAATCATCATGATGATGGTTCTGCCAAAAGACATGATTAGCAGCAACCATAGCAGTCATCAAGATAGGACTGGAGGCCCAGAGGTCTGGAGAACCAGGGGGCGCTAACCCTACAAGGGGACCCAAGCCACCCCCCAACGTAAAGAAAAAAAGCCCTCGGGACCGCTCTCCGTTTGACTTAGCAAGCAAAAGGACACCTGAGGGGCACGGCAGCACAGAAGCCCATCGCCAGATGAATACAGGGGGTTTGCGGCTTCAGGGACTCCGTGCGAGAATCGGCTGTTAACATACCGCAAAGAGCCAAACCCCCACCCCAAGTCGTTCCCTGAGCCCGCCCCAGAAAATGTCAAGGGGCCTCCCAGTGAGGGCTGATCCAGGCATCGGTTCCGAACATGTCCACCTGGCAGTTGATTAGGGTTTAGGGCCAGGGCTTAGGGTTTGGCACGTGCTCTCTCCTAGCAGTCCACAGCGCTCCGTTGCTTTCCGAGGCCGCGGCACATGTGGCCGAACCCCCAGAATATGCACACACTCAGGACTTTTCAATGAGGCCCGCTTCCACGGGAAGCACTCAGCCCCACCTCAATAAGCCCCGGGCCGCAGCCGGAATCCCACTATACTCCACAACACACATAAGACTCCACAATCTTGAATATACTGTGCAGGCTTTTAGGGTTTCGGGCTTAGGGTCTCGAAACACTTGCTGCGAAACCTTCCTTCGTTCTAGCAGTAGCAAGCAAACTTGTGCGGCAAACTGGCAACCCGCAACTAGCAGGACTTCTCTGGTATGTTTTTCTCAGCGCGCCTGCACAGCTGCCAAACCAAAGACCATGCATAAGGCCTTCCATGGGGGGAATGGGGGGGGGGGGGTGGAGGCTTCGAGTCTTAGATTTGAGGGGTCTAGCGATTTAACTGCCCCAAGCATCTCTACTTCCTAAGCCTCTCAGTGTGAGAAGACAAGGATCCTGGTCTTCGCACCGTTTATCTACGCAGGGGGAGCCAAAAGGTCGCAGAAGGCCTTCTGCAACAAAGACCCTTCTGCTTTTCGACTTCGCACGCGAAGTCACATGTGCCTCTTGCTAGAATACACTCATGAAGGGTTCATGGGCTGGCTGCTTACGCGCGCTGGAAGCTTGGGGTGCCGGAGCAAGTTCAAGGAGTTGCCATCTGCAACACAGGATCCTTTGAACCCTCTCTCGGTGCTTCGACGTTCTCGTCCGAAATTCGTCCGAGCAGCCGTGGTGATGAGAAGCTGCGTGGACTCGAGCACCGTGCCCTTCGTGTAGAGCCGGGAGTGCATGACCTTAAGGCCAAGGGACCAAGAAGGAAAGTCATGCTTGAGCCTCAGTGAAGGAGCCAGAGCTGGCCCAAGACCCTCCACATCCCTCCACCCAAGCCTTCCGAAACTTCAAGTGCATTTGCCTCTCTTTGAATGGGGGAGGGGACTCTGCTGAGAGTCTCGACTTGATACTGTGTTGGCATGACGACAGCTCAGCACAGCACATGTTGTGTAGGCCCCTACCCCCCACCCACCCCAAGCGCCAGAGCTACGTAGACCCAATGTTTGGGGTGCAAGCTGGTGTCGGGCTTCAGGGTGAGCAAAACAGTTGGGCGCGGGACCCACTGCTGCGGCGCCAGCAAGGTCCACAACAGCATGTGAGCTCCTGTCAGGGGAACGGCTGAAAGGGCCGCAGCATCATGACCTTGTCATGTGTTTGGGGGCAAATCAGGGGGCAAATCCGCCGAGGCCTCGGGCCGAAGGTGTATAGGTTGTGAGAACAGGCTCCCCCTTTTTTGGACCCCCTTTCTTTTTTTTTCTCTTAAATGGGTACCCCCCCCCCCCCCTCCTAGGAAACCGACGTCCCGCAAGCGGACGGTTCGCCAGGACCAGAGGCAGTTGAAGCCCGTCCCAGCAGGGCCCCCCCCTCCCCCCCCCCACCCTTTCGAGTGGTCAAGTTTACGATCAATCCAAGCCGAACCCTCAACCGAACCTTGAACCCTAAACCCCAAAAAACCCTAAACCCCAAACCGTGAACCGTGAGCCCTAAGCCCTCAACTCAACCCTAAACTAACCCTCAACCCCAAACCATATCCATAACCCCGGAACCCCAAACCCTAAACCCAACCCTTATTGCGTGGGGTCCATCGTCTTGGGCGCTGTGGAATCACCATGCTCACGCGGATGCGCTGGGCCGGGCCGAGGCGGGTCGCGTAGCGTAAAAATTATAATGGACCGATTCTGGGACTGCTGCGTCCGACATGCAAGGTTGGGTTTTCGAGATGCAAAGCGCGCGCCCGAGATGCATGGCACCAAGCCGTTTGCATCTCGAAAACCCAACCTTGCATGTCGGACCAGGATTCTATTATCCAGAGAAAATTCCTCCCTCTCTCTTTACTTTTAATAGGATTTCCTCCACGGGCTCAGCAGTTTGCATCTCGAAAACCCACCTGTGCCGGTCCGACCCATATTTTCCTATTTTACTATTTTACTAATTTTACGGGAAATCGGGAGTTTGCATCTCGAAAACCCACCTGTGCCGGTTGGACCCAGAAATTACCGCTTTACTGATTTCGCGCGAAATCCAGAGAAAATTCCTCCCTCTCTCTTTACTTTTAATAGGATTGTCCTCCACGGGCTCAGCAGTTTGCATCTCGAAAACCCACCTGTGCCGGTCCGACCCAGATTCTACTATTTTACTATTTTACTATTTTGCTATTTTGCTATTTTGCTATTTTACTATTTTACTATTTTACTAATTTTACGGGAAATCGGGAGTTTGCATCTCGAAAACCCACCTGTGCCGGTTGGACCCAGAAATTACCGCTTTACTGATTTCGCGCGAAATCCAGAGAAAATTCCTCCCTGTCTCTTTACTTTTAATAGGATTTCCTCCACGGGCTCAGCAGTTTGCATCTCGAAACCCCACCTGTGCCGGTCCGACCCAGATTTTACTATTTTACTATTTTACTAATTTTACGGGAAATCGGGAGTTTGCATCTCGAAAACCCACCTGTGCCGGTTGGACCCAGAATTTACCGCTTTACTGATTTCGCGCGAAATCAAGAGAAAATTCCTCTTTCTCTCTTTACTTTTAATGGGATTTCCTCCACGGCCTCAGCGGTTTACATCTCGAAAACCCACCTGTGCCGGTTGGACCCAGATTTTACTATTTTACTACTTTACTATTTTTTTCTAGTTTACTATTTTACTATTCTTACGCGACATCACCTACCTTTGCATGCATCTCGAAAACCTACCTTGGCATGTCGGACCCCCAATTTGCATGTCGGACAGAGGGATCCCACCGATTCTGACCTGCCCCCTTTGTCCTTGTCGATGTTCCTGCTGCCCTGCGAAGAAGGAGCCCGACCCCATGTGACGTGGCTCGTCGGCGCTGTTGCAGGCCTTGTAGGTGTAGTACACCTCTGCAGGACAGTGGGCTTGGGCAGAGGCATGTTTTGTGGGGAAGATCTCGCCCCGACTTGAACTCATAAAATTCACACATGGTCCAGGTCTAAGTCATTGTCGGGGTGGGGATGGGTGGGGGGTGGCTGCCAAGGTGCCCCAGAAAAGAAGGAGATGAAGGCCAACATCTCGGCCACCTTTGGGAGGCTCTGGGAGGATCTTGGAGGGCTGTTTGGATTTCTGTAAGCGGCTTCTCTGTTGCTATATGTTGCTCTTCCAGCTCCTGGGGGGGCCCCAGTTTTGCTTGGCAGCTGCGCGCAACTAAGCCGCTGAGCAGGGCTGAGGGTGGGGGTTCTTCAAGCTTCCGCTGGCCCCAACAGCCACTGCGACTGGCTTTGCGACAAGATGCGGTGCACAAGATGTTTAATGTTAGGGGTGGGGCAGCCCGTGCTCAAAACCTTGCACCACGCCTGGAAGCCCGTGAGGGGCTTGGGGTGATGGTGTGAGTTTCTTCGGCTCATTTGCTGTCTTCAACAAGTCCACTACCTGTCCAAGCTTTCGGTGCTTGAGTTCTTCGATGGTCCATGCAGCCTTTGACCTTCGGCTTGTGACGACAAAGGACATGCTCTGAGTCCCCACGAGCATGATCCGGAGCTTGGGATGAACAACTTTCCATGTAACTCTTGACAGGTTCTCCGCTTTCCGCTTCCTCGTCGTTTACTACAGCTCTTTCCCTGATCTTCTTCACTCCCAACTTCCAACCGATACAACCGTGATGATGTAAATGTCTGGGCCCGAAATGGTTCTTACTGCACACCCCGCCCCCCCCCCCCCCCCAATTCCCCATTTCGTTCATTCCGGCATGAAAATCGGAACCTCCTGCACACTGGGAACTGGGTCCTCGTCCTACTGGGACGCCCTCGAATAAAGCTGCATCTTGAAGCAGGGTTTGTGATGTGACCTGCGGGTGTTTACAATTTAACGGCCAACTCTGGCAAAGTCTAGCACATCCCGCGCATCCGCCCGCAACGCCAGGCTCACCCCCCCCCCCCCCCATTGTGTCAATGCCTGCCACATGCCCAGGAACAGATTCCGAGCCCCCAAACTCCAAGACTCTACACATCTCTGCACCCCAATCTAGCCTCCTTGGGTGGAGATGAGATAGTCTGAGATCTCAAAACTGAAACCGTCTTGGGCAAAAGCCCTGAAATCCCCTGAAACTGAATCCCCGGGCGGCCTCTCGTAGCCGAGCCAAGAACAGCACCTCACCGCTGCCGGGGTCCTTGAAGTGAAGCATCAAGCCTCGGAAGTTGGTTTTCCTTAAGGAAGTCCCTCATATACATCCCCCTCATATACATTCCCTCAGCGTTAAGTGGGGCATACCAGGGCGTACTCTTCCGGTCTCAGTCCAGCCAGTACTGGTCGTCTGGCGATCTCGCGCAGGGATGCGCAGGGTGGCATGGTGACGAGTTAAAAGTAGGGTCTAGTCTAGGCCGCAGGCTTTGCAAAGCGGCATCAGGCAAGGTGCAAACTGAAGCAAGGCATGTTCACCCTCAGAAGGCCGCGTCCCTCATCCCTTCACCTGGTGAGCCCGGCAGGGGCACTTGAAACTCTCCCGATAGTCCCAGCGGCGCAAGAGCAAGATCAGCACGAAGCAGACCATGAACCTGCCGTGAGGTGCAATTCGGAACCATCGGGAAAAACCGAACGCTTTTAAGTCTCTGGCTTGTGACACGTGGTATACCTTGGGCCAGATGTCAGAGGTCTGGGCCTCGACTGCGGCCTGGACGAATTACTTGCCATGAAGTATGGCCTATAACTCTATAACCCGTCAGGGCTTGTCAAGACTCTCCAAGCCGTTCAACCTCTGGCCCAGTAGCCGGTACACCATCACATCGGTATAAACGAAAATGAACGAAAATAACAGAAACCCTTGAACCTTTGACCAAAAGAACATAATAAAACTCAACCATTTGCAGGTTCTTTGCCAGCCTCCCCAATGCGATCCAAGAGGCTCCATTAGGAAAATTGTAGAGGCCTTGGCGATCGGCGCCCAGAGTTTAAGGTTTCACGGGTTTAGGCCGTCCAGGCCTCTAGGACTCTAGGTACAAAGGGTGATTTGTCCGACGGAAGCACCCGCTAACATCTGGGTTCGGCCCAGGACAAGCTTCCCTTTTTCTTGCTTTCCTTCTTGGCGGCTTGAGGCTACGAGGCCCCCCCCACGTAGTCCTCTTCTTCTTCTACGAGGCATGAAGGGGCCGAAACCCCCCCGCGCGCTCAGGCGCTCCCAGCGCACGCGGTCCGTCCACAGGTGAAGACTGCGGCTCCCCCCCCTGCAAATGCGATTCCCCGCCGCCAGCGGATGTAGGGCCTTAGTACCTTAGCATAGTCCTCTCTCTCTCTCTTGGAAAAATCCCAGTGGTTCTCAGTCCCAGGCCACGAGGTATGGCCACTGTGCGATGGCCTGGCAGTTGGAGTTGTTGGGGCGCTGTCGGAATTGCTTGTCGCACACCCCGAGCGTGGTACACGGCCAGCAAGCTCAAGCGTAGAACCAAAGCCTCAAGCTCAAAAACGTCGCCGCCTTCGTTTCTTTGCCTTCGTTCGCATAGACCTGGCTCCTTGGCCCCGCACGACTATCTTTTCAATATCGGCTCAATGGACTTTACTCTGTAAATGGCTAGAAATCCAACAATGCAGAGCGGAGGAAGCCTCTCTTTGTGCACAGATGCCGGGACTTCACAAACGTAGGAATATTATGGCCGCGGATCGAGTCACACAACTTCTACTTTCTGTTCTCACAGACGGGTTGCTGCCGCGAGCGACCAGCTCGAACACGGTAATGTGCGCTTCTAATGCGCCCTTCTAGTACACTCAAAAACTCAAGTCCCTGAGCCCCGAATCGACGGAAAGAGTTTGCTCTGCTGACGGCGACGCACGCTTTACGAAATCCTCCTCAGTCATCCTACATCCTACGGATTCCTTCTAAGCCATGTGGCTGAGCGCATTGCAAGAAGCACGCGTCCGTTTGTGTGGTTTTCTGCTTCCAGTAAGTAAGTGCACGCGAGTTCTCAATCCAGGCTCTCAAAGGCCTTCCTTTTCCGCGCGACAAATGGCGACAAAAGGCCTGCGCGCAGGCGGGAAGAGTCGCATCTAGAATAACCCTAGAAAGGCATTCTGCGGCCGGGTGGCGGCGAGATGAGCTCCTGCTGAAAAAGACGGTAACCTCGGCACAGAGTTGTCAGCGTGTTTCCTGCTGGGGTAGCTTGGCCTGAGGGCAGTTCCACCCTTAGAGCCAGGGCGAAGGACAAAAACGACTTTTCTATGTTGAGCCAAGTCGGATCCATGTGGACAAGCACAACCGAAAGAGGGCAACCAAGCTATACAAGTAGCACTGTAGCTGTCGTGGGCACCACGCACAAGGCACATGCCCTCCCATGTGCAAACAATGCTCGCACATGACGGGTTGGCTCAAAAAGGCGTCAGGGCCGGAGGGTTTGCAAAAACATGGCATGATGCTGTCAAAAGAAAGCTCGCCCGACTTTAAAAATGAGGCGGGGGTTGCGGGCGGTGGCGGGGGGGTCAGCCCCCCCCCCCCCACTTGCAAACACTATGGGAGTTGCTCACGTGGGCTTTAGAAGGATGCAACCAGAGAGTATTTGCAGCAATTCCTCTCGACCGCATGATGCCGCTGCTGCTCTTCAGAGCTCGTTTAGTTTCCTTCCTCGGTTCCATGGCTCCTCGGTTCCGTGCTTGCCCTCCTTGTCTCCCTTTCTTCCCTTCTTCTTTTCTGGCTTTCTTCGGGCTTTCCCTTCGTACCTCCTTCCCGCAGTTTGATACTCCAATAGTTCTTGTGGACACGTAAAAGAAGTTGTTTTGATCCGTGTGTCGAAAGCATACCGCTATCCTGTCGGGCCTTGTGTCACTTTGCAAGACATCCCCATGCCGGAAGAGGGTCATGGCTCTTGGCAGCTCTTTTCCAAGCAGCAGAATGGCATGTAGTGCAGTGGCCAGGGCTGCATACCATTCTAGGGCATTAAGCGATATTAAGCGGCTGCTCTTGCCGAATGAGCGGGGAGTCCTCAAGACCTGGAACCAGCAAAGTGACTAGCCATGTTCCGCAATCAGCTAAGCCCAGGAATCTACTACGAACTGAGAAGCTGCTGACCACCCACTCCCGAACCAAGCCGAAATGTTTGATCATTGAATCTGCCCCAGCTGGCAGAGTGATGTTGGCCCGACCTTTCCCTTCACCCTCTCAACTGCAAAAGCCTCAATCCCACCCACCGCAGAACGACTTAGGCGAGAGCCTTGCCATGCGATCATGGCCCTTAGCTGCAGCACCGTCATCGACATCAGGTGCTGAGCTCTCCAGACTCACGTGACCGAGCCCTCAGAAAGCCTCAGAGCCAAGAAGCGCCAGGAACACACCCTGGAGTGCAACTCCAGTTCGCTTGCGCAGCACCATGGCTGTTGAATGCTGGTGAGGGATGGAGTGCGAAGCTGGAAGCGCTGAGACGCTCTGATTGTGAGACTTCAGCTGAACCTTCTCGATGGACGATGTGCTTCTAGATGCTGGAGGAAGGGCTTGCTGCTTTGCAAAAGCAGCCGCAGTCGCTCTGCGACTGCGCTACGCTGCCACTCCTCCGCAAAACATCTGCACAGAGCCAGAACGCACCACGCGCCGGCAAGCTGGTCTAGGGAGTCTAGGGCGGGTTCTCAAGCTTTCGATAGTTTTCGGGCCTCGCTGCCATTTCGATTGTCATGACTCGGGCTGGCGTTCACAGTCAGGAACCACAATCACCATTCCCCGTTCCCAAACAAACGTCGAGCGTGGAGTCTTCAGGGCATCGTAGTCATGGAAGCATGTTCTCTATGTTTGGGGAGCGATTATAGCAGCCATGTGCGGAAGTTGGGTCATGCTGTCCCAAAAAACTCAGCTGCCCTGTAATCCATAAGGCAAGAAAAGAAAGGCTTCATCGACCCCTTTTCGGGGCTCCAGAAACTGAACGCCCAAGCGTCAACAAACAATGCGGAACCGGGCGACACCCCGTATCGCCTGGATCTGCCTCATCTCGTCGCCCAAGCGGCGGCTGCGCTCCAGGTGGCGCAATGCCTGGACGAGTGACGTGCCAGGCTTCGATTCGTAACTGCAGGCAATTCGAACCAACGAGGTCATTGAGGTCCGGTGCATTCAGACTGCTAGGAAGAAGAGCACCGAGCCACTGTTCTCCCAAGCACAGTATTGGGATCACTGGTATCCAATTTTTCAGCCCTAGATCAACCTTGAGTTCTTGACCCGAAGCCCTAAACGATCAACTGCAGGGACTTGCCACGGGAACCTCCTCCCTTCGCGCTTTGAGAGCCTCACCAGGTGTCGGTGCGGGTGGTGAGTTGCAAGTTGTGGTTAGGGCGGTCGGCCGAGGGTTTGCATGGGGCTTGGGGCATTCGCGGCTCATCTTCGGACCCCGAGTTCTGCGACTTTAGTGGCAAAAGTGCTTTGACAATGCCTGAATTGACAGCCCTTCACAGATCCGTCAGTGAGCACCCCAGCGCGCCAATGCCATTTTTCACCCCCCACGCCGAACGAACGCTGCCACCGCACTGATCCAGGCATCGCCGCCCGCTGCAGTCGCCAATCTCAAGGGTCAAGGGGCTTGGGAAGATTCAGGAGCAGGGGCTTCAGGGAGGGTTTGGGGTTTAGGGGCTTCAGGGGCTTCAGGCACTTCAGGGGGCTTCAGGAGGTGCCAAAGCCGACATACATCTTGCGGCCGACAAACTCTTCCGAACCCCTTCTTTCGAAGCGTGGAGTGATGCTTGTGCACTGAAAGGATGGTTCTCACCATCCTAGGCCCCAAAGCATCCTCCAGACCAGGGCAACCTGTGAAAGCGCGGCCTCTCGAAGTCCTCTGCCGGCAACAGATTCTGCTTCGGAAAGTTGGTCACCTAGCCGGACAGCGCTTAAAACATTTCCATGCTATTTCCATGCAGCAAGCCATGCACGACGTCCAGATGTTCCCAAGGTTTATCCGCTCCGGTTGGAGGCTCTGGCTCAAAAAAGCCAAGACGCTATTTCTTAGGACGTTGCCTTCACGAACGACACTCACAAACGGTGTTTTCCTGCTCCAAAGATATGATTGTCCTGAGTCGTTTTGTTCGAGACTCGCTCGTCGTCAGTCTGACCAGGCGGTATGCTGTGTCCACAGCTCGGATGCCAATCCTCGTGGTGCCTTCAATTCAATTGCGCCCCCACGACAACGACTCGCTAAAGGCTTGACGGCCTCACGATACTCAGCACTGACGCCTGGCTTCGATGTGACATGCTTGCATTCCATCTGTAATTTCTGTTGTTTGCGCCTGCTAGCTGTGTGATTGATATTTTGTTCGAGGGTCCGGGTTTGGAGATTAGACTTCGATGCATGAGGCTCTGAGGAGTCTGCCCATGATACGTCCGTCACAAGTGCCAGTCGGATACTTGCTAGCCCCTGATCTTAAAGGGCGGAGTTGTTTCTCTCATTTTTGTCTTGCTCCACTGTTTTCCTAATGGCATGATTAAGCGACTTCAATGTCACGGACAATTATGCGAGGTGGTGTGGGAGGGAGGGAGACGGGTTTGCAAACGCACTTCACGTATTCTGAGCTTGGAAATTGTATTAGCCGTTTTTCGGACAAGAAATTACAGATACGTCCCTCTACTCGCCAGGACTCTGCCGGCCTCCTCTGGAGGCGGGCACTCCAAGCATACTCGGCGGGTCTCTCTGCAAACGCTCCATTCACATCTTGCGCTTACCAGGGATACTCGGCGAAACTTTCTGCGGGCTGCTCTGGGAGCCCCAACGACAGCTCTTAAGCTGGTGCGGGCTGCCAGCCCGCACACCCACCAGTAAGTTCTCAGACCCCCCAAGCCCCAACCACCGCTCTTAAGCTGCCCGCACGCCCACCAGTAAGTTCTCAGACCCCCCAAGCCCCAACCACAGCTCTTAAGCTGGTGCGGGCGCCAGCCCGCACACCCACCAGTAAGTTCTCAGACCCCCCAAGCCCCAACGACAGCTCTTAAGCTGGTGCGGGCTGCCAGCCCGCACGCCCACCAGCAAGTTCTCAGACCCCCCAAGCCCCAACCACAGCTCTTAAGCTGGTGCGGGCGGCCAGCCCGCACACCCACCAGTAAGTTCTCAGACCCCCCAAGCCCCAACCACAGCTCTTAAGCTGGTGCGGGCTGCCAGCCCGCACACCCACCAGTAAGTTCTCAGCCCCAAGCCCCAACGACAGCTTTTAAGCTGGTGCAGGCTGCCAGCCCGCACCAGCAAGTTCTCAGACCCCCCAAGCCCCAACCACAGCTCTTAAGCTGGTGCGGGCTGCCAGCCCGCACGCCCACCAGTAAGTTCTCAAACCCCCCAAGCCCCAATCACAGCTCTTAAGCTGGTGCGGGCTGCCAGCCCGCACACCCACTAGTAAGTTCTCAGACCCCCCAAGCCCCAACCACAGCTCTTAAGCTGGTGCGGGCTGCCAGCCCGCACGCCCACCAGCAAGTTCTCAGACCCCCCAAGGACAGCTCTTAAGCTGGTGCGGGCTGCCAGCCCGCACGCCCACCAGTAAGTTCTCAGACCCCCCAAGCCCCAACGACAGCTCTTGAGCTGGTGCGGGCTGCCAGCCCGCACGCCCACCAGAAAGTTCTCAACCCAAGCCCCAACCACAGCTCTTAAGCTGGTGCGGGCTGCCAGCCCGCACGCCCACCAGTAAGTTCTCAGACCCCCCAAGCCCCAACGACAGCTCTTAAGCTGGTGCGGGCTGCCAGCCCGCACGCCCACCAGTAAGTTCTCAGACCCCCCACGCCCCAACGACAGCTCTTAAGCTGGTGCGGGCTGCCAGCCCGCACGCCCACCAGTAAGTTCTCTGACGCCCCAAGCCCCAACGACAGCTCTTAAGCTAGTGCGGGCTGCCAGCCCGCACGCCCATTCTCAGACCCCCCAAAGCCCCAACGACAGCTCTTAAGCTGGTGCGGGCTGGCAGCCCGCACGCCCACCAGCAAGTTCTCAGACCCCCCAAGCCCCAACGACAGCTCTTAAGCTGGTGCGGTCTGCCAGCCCGCACGCCCACCAGCAAGTTCTCAGACCCCCCAAGCCCCAACCACAGCTCTTAAGCTGGTGCGGGCTGCCAGCCTGCACGCCCACCAGTAAGTTCTCACACCCCCCAAGCCCCAACCACAGCTCTTAAGCTGGTGCGGGCTGGCAGCCCGCACGCCCACCAGCAAGTTCTCAGACCCCCCAAGCCCCAACGACAGCTCTTAAGCTGGTGCGGGCTGCCAGCCCGCACACCCACCAGTAAGTTCTCAGACCCCCCAAGCCCCAACCACAGCTCTTAAGCTGGTGCGGGCTGCCAGCCCGCACGCCCACCAGTAAGTTCTCGGACCCCCCAAGCCCCAACCACAGCTCTTAAGCTGGTGCGGGCTGCCAGCCCGCACGCCCACCCGTAAGTTCTCAGACCCCCCAAGGACAGCTCTTAAGCTGGTGCGGGCTGCCAGCCCGCACGCCCACCAGCAAGTTCTCAGAGCCCCCAAGCCCCAACCACAGCTCTTAAGCTGGTGCGGGCTGCCAGCCCGCACGCCCACCAGTAAGTTCTCAGACCCCCCGAGCCCCAACGACAATTAAGCTGGTGCGGGCTGCCAGCCCGCATGCCCACCAGCAAGTTCTCAGACCCCCCAAGCCCCAACGACAGCTCTTAAGCTGGTGCGGGCTGCCAGCCCGCACGCCCACCAGCAAGTTCTCAGACCTCCCAAGCCCCAACGACAGCTCTTAAGCTGGTGCGGGCTGCCAGCACGCCCACCAGTAAGTTCTCAGACCCCCCAAGCCCCAACGACAGCTCTTAAACTGGTGCGGGCTGCCAGCCCGCACGCCCACCAGCAAGTTCTCAGACCCCCCAAGCCCCAACCACAGCTCTTAAGCTGGTGCGGGTTGCCAGCCCGCACGCCCACCAGCAAGTTCTCAGACCCCCCAAGCCCCAACGACAGCTCTTAAGCTGGTGCGGGCTGCCAGCCCGCACGCCCACCAGCAAGTTCTCAGACCCCCCACGCCCCAACGACAGCTCTTAAGCTGGTGCGGGCTGCCAGCCCGCACGCCCACGGGCAGCAAGGTTCTCAGACCCCCCAGCCCAACCACAGCTCTTAAGCTGTGCGGGCTGCCCGCACGCCCCCATCAAGTTCCAGACCCCCTAAACCAAGCTCCCACAAGCGTCTTAGCTGGTGCGGGCTGCCAGCCCGCCGCCCCCCAGCAAGTCTCACCCCTCCAAGAAGCCCCAACCACAGCTCTTAAGCTGGTTGCGGGCTGCCAGCCCGCCGCCCACCAGTAAGTTCTCAGACCCCCCAAGCCCCAACTTAAGCTGGTGCGGGCTGCCGGCCGGACACCCACCAGTAAGTTCTCAGCCCCAAGCCCCAACGACAGCTCTTAAGCTGGTGCGGGCTGCCAGCCCAGTCTGCCAGCCCGCACGCCCCCAGCAAGTTCTCAGCCCCAAGCCCCAACGACAGCTCTTAAGCTGGTGCGGGCTGCCAGCCCGCACGCCCACCAGCAAGTTCTCAGACCCCCCAAGCCCCAACCACAGCTCTTAAGCTGGTGCGGGCGGCCAGCCCGCACACCCACCAGTAAGTTCTCAGCCCCAAGCCCCAACGACAGCTCTTAAGCTGGTGCGTGCTGCCAGCCCGCACGCCCACCAGCAAGTTCTCAGACCCCCCAAGCCCCAACCACAGCTCTTAAGCTGGTGCGGGCTGCCCCCACCAGTAAGTTCTCAGACCCCCCAAGCCCCAACGACAGCTCTTAAGCTGGTGCGGGCTGCCAGCCCGCACGCCCACCAGCAAGTTCTCAGACCCCCCGAGCCCCAACCACAGCTCTTAAGCTGGTGCGGGCTGCCAGCCCGCACACCCACCAGCAAGTTCTCAGACCCCCCAAGCGCTCTTAAGCTGGTGCGGGCTGGCAGCCCGCACCCCCACCAGTAAGTTCTCAGACCCCCCAAGCCCCAACCACAGCTCTTAAGCTGGTGCGGGCTGCCAGCCCGCACGCCCACCAGCAAGTTCTCAGACCCCCCAAGCCCCAACGCCAGCTCTTAAGCTGGTGCTGGCTGCCCAGCCCGCACGCCCACCAGAAGTTCTCAGACCCCCCATCACAAAAAAAAGAGAAGAAAATAAGAAACAAAACCATCAATGCCCCACAAAGAAACTACCCAACAACCACCAAAACAGCCCCAACACAGTCTCTTAAACTGGTGGCGGGCTGGCCGCCCTGCACGCCCACCAGTAAGTTCTCAGACCCCCCAATGCCCCAACTACAGCTCTTAGCTGGTGGCGGGCCCATCCCACCCCACCCCGTAAGTTTCCTCGGCGGCTGGGGGGGGGAGTCTCTTGTGGTGGCAAGGAACCCCCCAAGCCCCAACCACAGCTCTTAAGCTGTGTTGCGGTCTGCCAGCCCGCACGCCCCACCTCCGTATTTCTCGGACCCCCCAAGTACAGCTCTTAAGCTGGTGTCTGGCTGCCACCCGCACGGCCCCCAGCAGTTCTCCCACTCCGGATAGAGCCCCCAAGCCCCCACCACAGCTCTTAAGCTGGTGCGGGCTGCCACCCGCACCCCACCAGTAAGTTCTCATACCCCCCTAGCCCCACGACAATTAAGCTTGGTGGCGGGCTGCCAGCCCGCCAATGCCCACCAGCAAGTTCTCAGACCCCCCTAGGAAAAAAAAAAAGGCAAACCAAGCCCCGAACGAACAGCCTTAATCGTGCGGGCTTCAGCCCGCACTCCCACCATGCAAGTTCTCAGACCTCCCAAGCCCCAACTACAGCTCTTAGCTTGTTGCGGCTGCCAGCACGCCCCAGTAAGTTCTCAGAAACCCCCCAAGCCCCAACGAACAGCTCCTTAAACTGGTTCGGGCTGCCAGCCCGCACGCCCACCAGCAAGTTCTCAGAC